TATGATGGCGTTGTAAGTTGTATCTTGGTCCATGATATGGAACGTTGTTTCTAGGGTGACGCCCCCGGCCAGAACGGGTAATGTTATCTCTCTAGAGGTTCACTCAACTGCATTATTAAAACCTGTTAGTGTTATGCAACACAATACTATCTTGTCTTCGAGTCTCATCTGTACGAGGACTCGAGGGTGGATAATACACGTGCCGCTTCCGTCGTCTACCATTATTCTTTTCACATCAGTATCTGAAATACGTAAAGTAATAACAAGAGCATCGAAATGAGGGAAAGTCAAACCGTCGGTATTTGATTTATCGAAGATGATACTGTCTTCGAGGTCATCGTACCGTTCGTGAGTGATCGACCGCTTGAGTTTGTGTGTAGTGGTGAACTTCACATGGTTGATCGCTGCCTCGTCGCCTCCGCTATTGATCATTTGGATTGTAAGAGTGGGGGAGGGTGGCTTTGGTGGTCCCTGGTGCTGTTCACGTCCGCGGTCGAAGTTGGCTCGTCCTCGGTCGCTCATCAGTTCCCTCAGGTGCCCTTGGTTCAGCATTTTTACTACCTCTTGCCGTAGAGCTATGCAGTCCTCAGTTTTGTGACCCCGCTCCTGGTGAAATTCGCAGAGGACGTTCGACTTTCTCGTGCTTGGGTCGGACTTCATCTTTTGTGGCCACTTCATTTTTGTGCCGAGATTCTCTAGTGCGTACACTATTTCTGAAGGGGAAACACAAAAATTGTGAGCGAATAAGAGTGAAGGCATACCTCTCTTGTTCTGCTGAGTCCCTCTGTGTGACCTGGGCGGCCCTTCTGCATGTCGGGGAGGCGGTGGGATGGCTATTCTGACGTAGGGTTGGTGTCTTTCTCGGTTGAGACGGGGGCCTGACTGATCTCTTCGACCGTTGTTACGACGATCTTTCCTCGGCTCTGTTTGAACTGATGTCAGCTGTTGGGTTGGACCGTTAAGTTCGTCCTCATTGGCTCTTACCTCGGCGCAATAGGCATTGTGAATTTCTTCCCAAGTGGTGGGAGGGTATTTCATGAGCCTGCTTAATAGTTTTCTGGTTGCCCTCGACCCCTTTCTACTCAACCCGTTCTGGAAAGCCGCTACCGCCATCCCTTCTATTACATTTGGTAGGCTCATTGTCACCCTGTTAAACCAAGCGAGGAAGTCCCTGAGTCCCTCGCCAGGCGATTGCCTAACGGCGAATATGTCATTCACCCTGGCTTCCGCCTTTTTAGCCCCTGCATGAGCGGTGACAAACTTGCCGGCCATTTCCTCGAACGATGCTATTGACCGTGCCGGCAGTTGTGAATACCAGGTCAAGGCTCCTCCCGTTAAGGTTTCACCAAACTTCTTTAATAACACTGATGGTAATTGCTCCTTCGAAAGGTCGTTTCCCTTCACCGCTGTGACGTAATGGACGATGTGATCTTCGTGATATGTAGTGCCATCGTATATCTTCAGGTATGGTGGCATTTTGAAGGTTTTGGGAATGGCATGTGGAGCCGCTTCCTCGCTGTACGGTTGTTCGATGAACCGACCAACATCTCGCTTTGGCAGCAACTTTGGGGCACCCGGTATCTTATCGACCCTTTCTTGATGCTCCCTCATCACAGAGCGCCTTGTTTTCGTTTTCCATTTCTTCCATTTTCTTTAGGACGACTGCAAGTGCATCGTTACCTGCATCAATAGTGGTGTAAGTGTTACCTGTTTGAGGGGCGGGCTGCTCGCTAGTGGTTGTTGTGGTATCTGCTTGCGCGGCGTTTCTTTTCTCCCTTTGAACGGGTCTATCAAGTATGTTGTTTAGAGTGCTTGTCAACCATTCTTCCAGTAATTTTTTCACTACTAGTGGTGCTTCCTCAGCTGTGGACGTGGAGGCTCCCCTTTCGCGTGAAGTTGTTACGCTTTCGTGAGGGGAGGTGAAGCACTTCGCTTGGGCGTGGTGTTTGGTGTCACGTTCTCGTTGTCTCCTCTACCATCTTCGCTGATGGTATTCAGAATGTTGGTAGTGACGCTTGCTATTGCTTTCAGTCTTGCATCTCCTTTTCCTGCCATCGTTAGTTTGTGCAAACGAAGAAAAGATGGCTGTCTTCTTTTTTTTTTTGATCTAGAAAGAACTATAGTTTCAACTAAAACCTCCCCACAGACGGCGCCAAATTGTTTGAGCAAATAAAATGCTAAATCAATTAATGATAAGTTTAAAAGGGTGATTCTTAGTTGATCTTAATATATTCTAGATCAAATAGAACAAAACTCTTGTATAACGTGTAGAGTTCGAGAACGTTAAACAGTGGAGTTAATTTGCTATGATTGACAGTATATGTGATAGCATAAATGTATAATAAATGTAAGTAATGACAAGGATGATAATGGGAAAGGAACTATCACCCAATGATTATATGATTGGAAAGTTCCTTTTCTCTGAAGGCGACGTGGAAAGGTGAGCAGTCAGAATATATATGGGATCTTGAGATTTATCGGCCAAGATTGAACAACATGTGCTTGAATAAATGAATAAGATAACTCTTTCGTATATTCTTCTTTTAACTTTTACAATGCGTTCTAGTTCCAAAAAGGCAGATCACCCTTTTGTTCCCTATCGCTTCCTATTTATAAGGGACATACCCCAAAAACCCTAAAAAGTACAACATAAGAATATTCAAGGGAATATTCTTTATGTCCACTTTTAAACTTAAGTTATCCTTGCTATCCTATCTCAGCTGTTCGCGTCAGCCTTTGTGAGTACGACCTTCCATCATTATGCCGTGATCGACCCCGTCCTTTATCTTGTTTACTCGTTAGTCTGATTACCAAATTTGGACCTATACAACTTCTAAGTTCTAAATAACTGAATATTCTTCACATACATTTCCATTTTCTAAACATGAATTAATTCCGAGTGAATTTTCTAATTTTATTTCCGCTTTTTCCTCCCCCGTCTATTCTTGACTGAAAATATATTGGTTGATCGTAATAATAACCGTAGCAGTCAAAAAAGGTAGGAGAGTCCGACGAGTGAAACGGGCGCCTTAGCCACGGAGAGTCCGACGAGTGACACAGTCGAAACGGGCCGTGAAGGTGAAACGTGAAAAATAACGTGGAGCCGCCAAGTCCTCATGAACGGTGCACCCTAGCCACGGATTTTCGTGATCTAATGTTTTTCGTGGGTCCCACACTCTAACCCGCCACTTTCTGTGGTTATAAGTACCAGCTCAGCTCTCTCCAAATTCGCCGTTTAGCAAACAGCGCTTCTCAAAAGATTTCCAGAAGCTTCAATTCATCTTCTCCTTTCTCCCAAAAAACTCCGTTTCCTTATCATTTCTCAATCTCCGACACCAGAGAATTTTTCCGGCGGTGAAGCGGTTACTTCTCCGTTTATTTCTCGTCAAAAAAAATCTCAGCTTCCATTTCTTTCAAGGTTCGTTTGTGGAACCTCCTTTTCCGTTAACTGTTTCCTTCTGGAATGTACTGTAAACGACGGTTTATACTTATATTTTTCAATTTATGTTGCTTAGTTACGGTTTTGTATGACAAATCAATGAATTTCCAGTTTCAGTGCCTTTTTGTGTGCTAATACCTATGAAATGCATGTTAATGTTTATTCTGCGCCGAGTTTATGATGTAGTAGTTAGTTTCGATGTTGTGATACTTTTATTCCACAGAATTCCGGCTATTTTCTCTTTATTTATTTATTTAAAAATTCACCTTGTAATTCGAAGTTTTAGATGTTTTTCCTCAGTAGGCCCGATTTCATTTTCTATAAGTTCATGTGAATGATTTAGTACTTCAAATATTTGTTAATTGTTAATCTCTATATAAGTGAAGACTTGTCAAATTAATTCATAATTAGTGCTTATTTAAGTGTTCTTTTGGTGAAGGATAATGGCTCACTCTCAAAACCAGGAGTTAGAGTATATGGTGGATGAGTACTATGACACTACTGATTTTGATGACAGTACTTTTGCGGATGAATCTCCACAAAGTACTGATGTTTATGACTCTTTAGACTCTGATTTTGAGGATGATTTCGAAGTGGTAAGCAAAATTTTATACTTTTGACATGTTAGTGGTGGTATTGTCGATTTTTAGTTAACAATGTTGAGTTACTGTTCTTTGATTTTGCAGAGTAAGTCAAAGACTGATACATCAGCTGTAGAAGCTAGAAATGGCAAGGATATACAAGGAATTCCTTGGGAAAGGCTTAATTTTACAAGAGATAAGTACCGTGAAACGAGGTTGAAGCAGTATAAGAACTACGAGAACCTCCCCCGCTCTCGTGAAGATCTTGAAAAGGTTTCTTTTCACTCTTTTCCTTTCCAAAGTTGTGCCAATGCGTACTAGAAGTTTATGCAATTTATGCAACTTTGGGAATTGACGGTTGGAGGAACATGTGGATTATCTTATTCACGGTTTACCGGCTTATATCTAGAGGATCTAGACTTATGTTATGTGCAGTTGAGATCCCTGAAGAGGTCTGAAATGATAGTGTGGACTACGATTAAGCACCTTTTCTTAGAATTTAAGAAAATATTTAATTGATTGACGCTTTATAAAGCTGCTGTCTTTTAGTCCATAGATGCCTTTCCTTCAGTTAGTGATTTAGGAATCTTTAAAATGGACAACTACTGTCCCTTTTTTTTTGTGACTATTTGGTGTCATATTGTTCCTTTTAGCTTATCCCCATACATCTTTTGGAAAATTGGATTAGTTTCATTATTTGTTTATCTAATTCACCAGAGTGATCATTTAAAAGTTGCTTAGTAAACAAAATTAGTAGGCCTTTGCAGCATAAGACAATCTAAATCTGTTGAATGCCAAGTTAAAAGCTTTTTTTTTCCTAGCCTTTTCCAAGCTTCTATTTAGAACTTTTGCTGTGGCTACGTCTAAAAGTTCCCTCACGATTTTAGGAGTGCAAGGAAGTAGGAAAAGGACACAGCTTCTACGACTTCCAGTTCAATACAAGGCTCGTCAAATCCACTATTGTGCACTTTCAGGTACAGAAATTCTCTGTCTTTTTGTTTGTATAAATCATTGGTTAACCTTGATGCAGAAACCAGTTGATTGGTCTGCTTCCCCTGTAGTCTTAGTGTTTTGATTTAGTCTCTGTTGTCCCATTTTGCATAATTCAATTAAGCATGGCAAACGACTCCATGGCCGCCTTTCTTCATTCTGGCCTTTCATGTTATTTTTTCCTCTTCCTTTTTTAGCTCTTCTGTAGTTTGTATAATTTTACTCTAATCTTAGCGTGAATTTAGAGTTAACAATAGGATTTGGTCATTTTGAGTCTTTTCATTGTGTGAGCCTTAGGTTGATGATCCCTATCACCTTTTTCTTCTTTCCATGCAATAACCGTACCTCTGCAGGTGCTATGCTCCTCTAATGTTAAGGATGTTTTAATTTAAACCTTTAAGCTGTAAGCTTGACCTCTCATTCTTCAGAGGTATGGAGTTCGTACCATTGTCGAAGAATTTGGTGAGTGTGATGCTTGATGTGGAATTACTCAAAACATTAACTTTTATGTACCTCTAATGCATCTTGGACAGCTTTCTGGGACAGTTTCTGGAATAATATGTCATCGGGGCCAGTATGTTTGATGCTTCTTATGGCCTCCAAGCTGGTGAACTTGCTTCTGATTTAAATTTAGTGTTAACTTGCCAATTTTTCTTGCAGCTTTCTTTTTCCTCTTCTGGTTAGAACACCAAAACACTATCCTGAACTTTGGGTGTTTCCAGTTTAATTTTGTTGCTTCCACAATATTCTGGCTATCTGCATGTGGAAGCTACAAGATTTATGTAGGGGCCAATCTTTCTGATTTTCAGAATTTAGATTTTCTTAATTTTCTTTTCAGTATAAGCAGTTCTGTTGTGCCTGGATCGAGTTTTGATCCGGGAGTTGTATTCACAATATCCTTGTTGTGCAGATTGTAAACACTTAAGGAAGTGTATCTCATAAAATTTTGTAATAGTACAAGATCCTTGTTTGGCGCTTCACTCTTGAATATTTCATCATGAATCAGCTGAATGTATTTTGAGGCAGGGTTTTGATATGGAAGCTCAGTGGTGAGGACTGAACTTGCTTTTGGTGGGTTTGTAATTTGTTGCGGACATAGAATGTAGTTCTTAGGCCAAGTTGCATGTTGTGTTCCATTCTAGCCTCTATGTGATTGAGAGTTCGTGCGACAAAGTAATAACAGAGCACACGTCATTTAGTTCTACAGTGTCAAACAGTAAAATTGAGCTGATGATTGAAATTTCCAAATTCCCCTTTTCGGTTTGTGTGTCCCTCTATAGAATTGCTTGATTTTATTTCTTTTCATCTTTTTATTTCCATGGTCCTGCATTTTCAGTTGGTCACTAACTAGCTCTGTTGCCTTCCATGCATGGTTCATGCCTTCCTAGTTAGAGCCCAGTGATCATTGCCTACTTCTCGGCTATCACTTTAGAAGATATTTAGTTGATGAACATTTTTGCTAGTCATTATGTTGAGTGGTTAAGTTTTAATTCTTGTTGTCAATGTTGTTTGCTTGAATTGTATTTTTCCAATTAAGTTAATTAACCAATATCATGTGGGCATTGCAATTGTGTATGTATTTCAGCCTTAAAAGCAGGATAGCGGTTATTATGTTGAGCAGCTGGGGCGAGCGTTTTCCATATGGTATGATAGGGAATATCTGAGAATTTAAGAGGCCTTTTTGGTCATTCTTCTGTTTATTTTTGGCTAACCTCTTAATGGCAGCAATAAGTTATTAAAATATTTGTGCTGCTTCATCATCTGAATCATTTAGATGCGTGAATGTGCAAAAATGTCTCCTTACGTATTGTTTCATGTGATATCTCTATTAAATGCATACACGAGTTCTCATTATCTTGTTTATGGTTCTCTCTTCCGTTTAAGAGGGTTGCATTTTCTCTTCTTTTTGTTTGTTGGAGATGGATTCTGCACCAGGCTCTTTAAGTACTTACACAGAGGGGTGTAAATTTCAATCTGATGTATCACAACTATTGCACAGTTTTGATCATTATCTGATTTCTTTGGTACATCTTCTCTTGTAGCTGCCATCTGCAGCCAGTATCTGTTTCCACTAGGGAAAAAAGATTTAACTGATTTGTGATATTCCGTTGGGCTGTCCTATGAACTTTCTGACAACTGCATTTCTTAGTTTTGCAGTGTACATGTTGGGAAGTTTGACATTGAGTTGTGTGTGTGTCATTCATTTGAGAGTTCATGAACTCATTTAAAAAATTTCAGTGGCATTATTGTGTGGTTTTCTGCCTTGATGAACCACATTTTGAACTTGGGAGCCTAGTTGCTGATTTATTGTCTTTGTTATGTGGTGTTCTGCCGTTAATATCACTTGTGAACTTTGGGCTCAGTTGCTTATTTACTGCTCCCAAGAGTTTTCCTCTCTTTCCTATTCTTGTTGGTCCTTTCTAAAGCACTTGGCACATGCCTTCGCAATCTATCTATTAAGCTATTTGATTCCATTGATGTCTTTAGAAATCATGCTCTATTTGAGTTGTGTTGCTTTTTAATATGGACAATTACCGAGGCATAGTGTAGCTTGCTCACCCATCATCTTTTCTTTACATCTGTTCTAGATTGTGGTGAGGCATCTCTTTCGAGTCTCTCTGGCATGCTTCTTTTGCTGCATCATTTTTGCTCCCGTCATTGTTACAGTTGGCAGTTCCTGACTTATCTGGGTTTCTTCGCTGTTTCGATTTATAGTATGAGGAGAGAATTACTATTCGTTTGCTTGCCTGACTTGCTTTCTAATAAACCAGCTCTATCACAGATGATATGTGTATCTATGAGCGGTAGATTGTTCAGTTGTAGCAGGCTAGCAGCTGTTCAGTCGCTAGCTTATGCGTCATTGACCACTAATATTTAGGACTAACTATATGCTGACTTTCGACTTAACTTTGTTTTTAGGGCTTTCATATGTTGTTCTCTTCTATTTTCTTTGTTCTTCTGGAGCCTGATCCAGCGAAGGGGAGAGGGGGGCGATTGAATTTTGTGGTCGATTCTGCATTGTTTTGTGTAGGTTATTTATTCCAAATTAGATACTTCGCTCTTCAGCTAGCCATATGGTTGAGACTGTTATTGAGAACTTGAACTGTACATGACTGCATGCCTACCTTCTGATGTCATCCAAGTAAAACTTAGGTTCAGATGTCGTAATCAAGTACTGCTGTGCAGAAATGATACTTTGTTTTTCTTAAGCTGCATAATAAGTTTTTTCTTTTAACAAGTGACAGCATTCTGAAGTTGTTTTTGCTTTATTGGATATTTTTATATTATGTGATGTCAGTGTTTGCCCCACTAGAAGCTTGTATGCTGTCCATTGATTAGAGTATCAACCAGTTTATATTTTTGTTTCAGTTGAGGAATCTCTTATGGTCTACATCAAAACATGATGTGTATCTGATGCAAAACTACTCCGTGATGCACTGGTCCTCACTTCTCAGGAGGGGAAAAGAAGTGCTAAATGTTGCTAAGCCGTTGGTGCCCACTATGGTTAGTAATGCTTTTTGAATTGTTTATCATTATATGCTTAAATGACTTTTGGTAGTCAAGAATTAACTCTTTGGTTTGTTCAGAAATACCCTGGATCAGTGTCTCAAACACTTTCTCGAGTGCAAATCAGCACTTTGGCAGTCAGAGATGGTTTAATGGCTGCTGGTGGTTTCCAAGGGGAGCTTATCTGTAAGGTAAGATGACAATATACTGTCTGAACAGATTTGTATTCTTCCTGAAGTAATGGATACTGATATGATTTTAACTCGTGCAGTATCTACACCATCCTGAAGTTGCATTCAGTACAAAAATAAGCAACGAAGAGAATGCCATAACTAATGCTGTGGATATTTGTTATAGTCCGACGTAAGTCCCTGAAATTTGTCTTTCTGTAGCTTTTCTTGAATTCGTTGTGGGGACTGTCGTACCGATGCTTATATGGTTCTTTGCAGTGGCTCGATGAGGGTAATCACTGCTAATAATGATCAGCAAGTCAGAGTTTTCGATGCAAAAAGCTTCGCTTGCACCAGTCGTTATACATTCCCTTGGTCTGTTAATGTGAGTAGCAGGGTTTTAAATTTCCTCTTATGAAGTAGTATCACAACTTTGACAATTCTCATTGGCTCTCTACTCACAAATCTCTATTTCATTGCAGAACACCTCTGTTAGCCCAGATGGTAAACTACTTGCTGTCCTTGGTGATAGTCCAGAATGTCTAATTGCTGATGCTCAAAGCGGGAAGGTTGGTCTCATCTATATCTTTTAAATGAGGGGGTGTTAACCTTTTAACCCTACGATTAGTTGCTCATGTATTGACCTTTGCCTGATGCTTCAGGTTGTCAGCAACCTAAAAGGTCACCTAGATTATTCATTTGCATCAGCTTGGCACCCGAATGGAACAATTTTGGCTACTGGTAACCAAGACACAACTTGCAGATTGTGGGATATAAGGAACACATCACAGTCTATAGCAGTGCTCAAGGGAAGGATGGGTGCCATCCGTGCAATCAAGTTCACGTCAGATGGACGTTTCATGGCCATGGCTGAGCCAGCTGATTTTGTCCACATTTTTGATACACAGTCTGATTATGGTGCCTGTCAAGAGATTGATTTGTTTGGCGAGATTGCTGGGATATCCTTCAGCCCCGATACTGAAGCTCTCTTTATTGGAGTGGCAGACCGAACCTATGGAAGCTTGTTGGAGTTCAACCGTAAACGTTGCCACCACTACCTTGATTATGTTTTGTAGTAAAAGGCACCTGACCATGTGGTTTAATTTAGGGCATCTGCTTGTTTGGTGTATAGTTTGTGTATGGTATGCTGGCCTTCTATGACGATGATCAGAAGGCAGGCACCTCTAGGATTTGGACAGTAGTGCAATCTGGAAAGAAGAGCTATGATGACGTCCAGTGGCTGGCTTTGTAGGGACTATTTCTGCGGAAGTATATTTATTAAGCTTGCAGAAATAAGAAGATTTTGCAGTAGTAAATGCGAATCGCAGTGGATTTGTATATCAGAACGAATTAAGTGGTTAATGTACTTTTTTGTTAATGGCCAATTTTAGCACAATTAAATGTGTTTGCTTTGCTTTTTTGTTGTTTTTATATTTTTATCCGTTAACTTTCTGTTTCCTTGTGTCCTTTCCTCTGCTCCTTTTCCCCGGATCCAAGTGCCAGTTCATTGTCTGTCTCCCAACAATATAAGAAACGCAGCTTAGTCTAACATCTCGTAGTCGGTGTGCGATTGGTTCCAAGCTAAACCTCTTCTATTTGCAACGAAAGGAAAATAGAAAATGATACTGAACTTTGGACGTAAAACTGGTCTCAATTCGATCAGAAACAGTTCAAGACACAAACTTGCCAACTTGCCCTGGTTAAGGTAAGCATTCGAGATTAGTTTATACAAGGTGGGGTATTTTGTTCCTTTTGATATTGCTCAAGAATCTGAAAGTATTTAGGCGAGCAACGACAAAATGCATGTCAACTAGGGATTTTTGTGAGATTGGCGAAAAGTTTGAAAACTTGAAAAGACTGTCACGGTTATTATCCATTTGAATTGTTTGCAATGACTACCAATTTCACCAGGTGTCAAATCCAAAATTTGACTAAACTAAAATACTTGCGAAAAATGAATAAGGAAACTCCCACTGACAACTACAAGTCACTGATATCAATTAAAATAAGGGGAAAGCAATAGCAACAACAATGACAAGACTTAGGATAATCTTATGAAGATTATGTATTGAAACTGACGTAGACTTGATCGACAACAACCTTCAAGTTGTCTGTATTTTTTAAAGCAAAGAACGGAAATGATGCCGACAAACGAATAGCAGGAGTAACACCTTTCGAAACACACGAATAATCTAGCTTGAATTTGTTGGTTGATGTAGGTCAGTTAGTATTTAACATTTAAAAAGTAGCAACTGTCAATTGATCTCTCAAGGATAATGTTATCTTTTCTATACTACGAAGCTGAAATTGTTGAAAGTTATATTGATCTGAAGGGGACTCTCTGCATATTTAGACAGCATTTATAACTTGTTAGTATATGAAATTATGAATGGGCAACGTAGTAGCATTAATATGACTAGGTGATGAGGTTTCTAATCAGTCAACAGAAGGATCCATAATCTGTAATATTCAACAAGGTTGTTGAAAAAGGTAAAGAGAGCTCCGAGAAAGAAAAGATCAAAGAAAAAAAACAAGACTGATGCTCGCTCAGTTGAAAGTTGAAGTACTAAATATATTTAGAGTTTAGTTTTTTTATATACTTATCAGGTTACTTCAAAAATAATTATAGATAATTGGTCATAAAAAAAATAATAACTGAAATATATAAAACAGATTATAAGCTACAACAATTAACATACATTAATAGACTAATAGTATACAAAAAATTTCGTTGTCAAGTGTGTATAAACTATCTTTATTTATTTGAACTTATAATCAAGACAGAAACTGTTAATTTTAAACTGATTCACGACTCTTATGCTGCTGTCACCTTAGAGACTTAGAAACCAATTTTATCCGCGGAAGCATTTCTATGCTCCTTGTTCCAAACTTTTGTTGTTTTCTGTTTTCCAAATTGCAAATAATAAGTTAAGTGATTTAACAAGTATTTTAATATGCGGAAAATTAAACTCACACTGTAGTATTTGAGAAATATATATTTTTAACCGCTTTAAATAGCTAATAAAATATAATATTTTATGTATATGTGTGTATTATATACATTTTTTATACACTTTTTAATTAGAGAATGAAACTAGTTTCGACTTATCGGCCAATTTTGTATCTTTTCCTAGTATTTTGGTGCACTTTTTATTTGAATGACTAAATTTTTTATTTAATAAAGATGAACCGAATGAGACCGATTTTAACTCCAAAAATTAGTAAAATCAACTTTTAAGTAAAAAATACTACCAAACAAATGAAGCAGAGTGATTTAACGCCGTTAATTCGAGTGTTCTCAATAAGTGGTCAGCCATAAAATTAACGCCGTTAGCTGGATTCAAGAATTAACAATTATCTTTAAAGGATGTGAATTGCCAGTCATATTAGTTGGAAAAAAAATTTGTAAGTTGTAAGACATTTGGTAATCAACAGATCTTTAGTTGAATCGTGAAAACATTTCTGGAATTTGTAAGACCATTTTTAACCAACAAAGAACTCGGGGAATATATATGGGTACAAATTGGAGTTAAATTATTGAAGAAGGATTAACCCAATATATATATATATATATATATATATATATATATATATATATATATATATATATATANATATATTGGTTGGAATGAGCCCTTCTTGTATGCAGTTCAGATCTGCACCTGTATCAAATAAGGCAATGATATCCAAGGTAAAAGACTTATTGACAATTAGGATGACTCTCATATGCCATTTTCTTATGAAAATTCTGGAGAGATGATTGCAAAAAACTTCTTGTTCAACTGCTTTAACTACAGTTGGTTTGGGCTCTTCAGGTTTGGTAGAGAGCTGTTGGAGAATAAGACATATATATATATATATATATATACTATACTATACTATATTAAAAGCACGAATACCCTTAGCGAAATGTCGTTCGCCGTTTTTACCCTTTAAAATTTGATTTCACATTGGACAAAATAGTTCTTTCACTATTTTCCTAATATTTAGTACTTTGAATTCAACTAAAATTTTGATTATTAAATCTTTCCTTATATATCCAATATATGTGAATGAGTCCTAATTTTTAGGACATTAAATCATTAAAGCTTTACCTTATATAATTTTTGAATTATGTAGCATAATTATAACCTTCATATTACTTTTAAATCTCGTGCTATAAGTTAACACGAAGAATAATTTAAACATTAATATCGTTTACTAAAAAATAACAAAGAGCATAATATAGGTCGAACGTAAACGGCATGAGAGGCCAACATTTATCTATATTACTATATTAAAAGCACGAAGACTCTTAGCGAAATATTGTTCGTCTTTTTTATCCTTTAGAAACTGATTTCACACTAGACAAAATAATCATTTAATTATTTCCCTTATGATTAAAAACAGATATTTAATTATCTCCCTAATATTTAGGACTTCTATCCATTCCTTCTCCTAATGTTTAGGAATAAACATTTAATGCCTATGTATCTTTGAGTTTTTCACGTTTTACACTAAGTTTATATGTTTCAATAATGATTATTAATAATAAAGGAATTTAGATGAAAGAAAATGAATTTCTCTAGATGAAAAAGGAAATTGGTTACTTTTCTGTTTCTCCACTTCTCCCTATTCTTTTGGACAATTATGCTAAGTACGTACATTTCTAATACTTTTTTCTCACACATCTAGCTTTTGTTTAAAAATAATATATACACACTTATTTAATACTTTGACTAACATTTTAGAATTTAAAATCAGCTTTAAATTTATCACTTTAAATTTCAGCTTTTGCATTACAAATTAACACCGCCAATCACCTTGTATTTCTTTTAGGTTTGGGAGTCTTTTTTTGTTGTTAATAAACTTTTTACCAATTAATTCTTTGCAAATTTATATTAGGGAAGTTTTAAACACTTTGTACTTCTTTAGGTTTCAGAGCCTTTTCTGTATTAATAAAATGTAAAAGTTTCAAGCAAATTTTAACACTCTCATAACATGAGTAAAATGTGGGAAAAGGATTTTCAATTGTTGTAAATTATCATACACAAATTTTGTTATAACTAATAGAAAATATATATGCAAGATATCTATCTAAGTGCTCATGTAAAGTTGAACGACTTTTTCACATTTCAATCAAATGTTATTTCTATCGATACTTTTTTACGATGAAGCAAGTACTAGAACAAATTAAAAGAAGAATTACTAGAGTGGATCAAACCCTTGGATATCAGTAACACAATTATCAATTTAGAACATGTAAATTTTTGTTTATATTATAACGCAAACACATCTTCCGAATAATATTTATGTTATTTTTAAAAGTTTGTTCTCACTAATACAAATGACATGCGCAATGCGCGTACACTAAGACTAGTTATTATTATAAAAGCACGAATGTTCCATGCTAAATGATGGATGACGGAAATATCCTTGAAATATTGATAGACTTTTATGTCCTTAAAAAGCTAAATTGTTTCTTTACAAAATAATTTCATATTGGATAAAATTACAATATTTAAAACTTTAGCTAATTCGAATTTGCATGAGTTCCTAATATTAATCAAATTTAAACTTCTCCCACGTTAATCTCTACCTATTCCGAAGTTCCAACTTATACCAATTCTATAAGAACAAGAATACGTTCAATCACATCTCACCACTATATGAAAGGTAATTTGTTGCCTCATTGAATTCCTTAAAATTAGCCTTTACATCATGCACATATATATTAAAATTATTCAAGACACTTCTTCAAGAAAAAAGATTCTCTAAAGAAGTTGTGTATATTTAATTATAAAATTACAAATATCCAAACGTGAGATCTTGAGACTTTTTTTACGCTCCGTAAGTTTATTTCATGTTGGAATTAAATATAACTATAATTAATCCTCAAAATTATTATTATTTATGGTATTATAATTAAGGCGAAATACATAAATAGTCCATTTAAGTTGTCCCAAACGATCACATGAACACCTCAACTGACCCCATTATCAATTAGACACCTCTTCTCCGATTAAAGTGCGACCTCGTGAACCCCTGACGCTCATATGGCAAAGTGTGTGCTTTATATTCACTTTTGGGTGCCTGAAATCCTCAAAAATAAGGTTTTTCTTTTTCTTTTTTAAAATTAACCTTATTTCATGTGGAACCCACTTACCTTCATCTTCACATTTTTCCTTCTTTAGATTTTTCACTTTCCATGGAAAACAACAAGAATAAAGAGTTTCTTCCAAATTATAATAATTGGAAAAAAAAAACATAACATAAGCATAGACTTTTTGGAAAATCACCTATCGTAAATATTCTTGTTGAAAAAAACAATTGGGTTTCCAGGAGAAGAGCTACTGGTAGATATTCTAATACTCATGGATAATAAAGAATAAGACCCAAAATCCCATAATTTTTTGGTGGGTCTTTACTGCTT